TATTAATTATGAAAGCCTTTTCGGGTCTCCTTTGGTTCCTTTAGGATTGATTTCTTGCCTGTAGGACTTACATATGACCTACAGTACAATAAGTTCTACAACTTATTCTAATTAAATATATCACGAGTATTCCTTTACTTGCTCACAAGAAACATGTCATAGAATCATAGAATAATAGGACTGGAAGGGACCTCAAGAGGTCATCGAGTCCAGCCCCCCGCCCTCAAGGCAGGACCAAGCTCCACCTACACCATCCCTGACAGATGTCTATCTAACCTGTTCTTAAATATCTCCAGAGAGGGAGATTCCACCACCTCCCTTGGCAATTTATTCCAATATTTGACCACCCTGACAGTTAGGAATTTTTTCCTAATGTCCAATCTAAACCTCCCCTGCTGCACTTTAAGCCCATTACTCCTTGTCCTGTCCTCAGAAACCAAGAGGAACAAATTTTCTCCTTCCTCCTTGTGACACCCTTTTAGATATTTGAAAACCGCTATCATGTCCCCCCTTAATCTTCTTTTTTCCAAACTAAACAAGCCCAGTTCATGAAGCCTGGCTTCATAGGTCATGTTCTCTAGACCTTTAATCATTCTTGTCGCTCTTCTCTGTACCCTTTCCAATTTCTCCACATCTTTCTTGAAATGTGGCGCCCATAACTGGACACAGTACTCCAGCTGAGGCCTAACTAGTGCAGAGTAGAGCGGCAGAATGACTTCACGAGGTTTGCTTACAACACACCTGTTGATACAACCTAGAATCATATTTGCTTTTTTGGCAACAGCATCACACTGTTGACTCATATTCAACTTGTGGTCCACTATGACCCCGAGATCCCTTTCTGCCATGCTCCTTCCTAGACAGTCGCTTCCCATCTTGTATGTATGGAACTGATTGTTCCTTCCTAAGTGGAGCACTTTGCATTTCTCTTTATTAAACCTCATCCTGTTTACCTCTGACCATTTCTCTAACTTGCTAAGGTCATTTTGAATTATGTCCCTATCCTCCAAAGAAGTCGCAACCCCACCCAGTTTGGTATCATCCGCAAACTTAATAAGCGTACTCTCTATCCCAATATCTACATCATTGATGAAGATATTGAACAGTACAGGTCCCAAAACAGACCCTTGATCGTCCTTCTTGATCACTCTACTTCAGCAAAAGTGTTTCTTTTGAGGTATTTTGTAAAACCAAAAAATACACATTTTGTATTCAGAAATATAGCAAATTGAATTAGGCCATAATGAATTGAATGGGAGACATTTTTGCTGCATTTCTTGCTTATGTAGCAATAATGACTTTCTGATATGTGCTTTTGTTCCTGATGAGAAAAGCTGGCAATCTGTTTTGTTTTTCTTTGAATATCATTGTATATTCTAAATCGCCTTTTCATGGGTCCTTTTAAATGATCACTGCTGTTTTAACTCACTTTTCTGACTATCCTTGCAAGCAATACCTAAGATTATTATAACATAACGGGACTAGAAGGGAAAGGATTTTTCTCTGTCTTTTTCTTCCTGTTTGTGTTGTGCTTTTGACTGCACTCTGTGCAGAGTTCCATTCATTGTTTCCTTAGGTAGCCATTCAATTAATCCATCTCTCTTACCGTTTGTGTATCTTTCACACAGCAAGAGAAGAGAAGAGTGATTTAGAAAGTAGTAAAACTTGAATGTAAACCCAAGAATATTGGCAGGAGGGCTCAGGGGAGGCTCTTGTTTTTGAAATTGCTTGTAATTGTCATGAAGACTTTGTATATGTGAATGCCTGCTGGGGTTCCCTAAACCGTGAATTACTGGGTTACCTCTCTTAGTTTCAGCAAGTGAGAGCTTTGTTACTGCTATGCTATATCAGAGCTCCCTGACACCACAGCTTGTCAGCCTCTGCCAGCATAATCCTCAGAACTCTGCAAGTCTAAACCAGGTTGCAATCATGAAACCGCAATTCCTGAGTTACTCAGAGGAGTTTTTATGAAAGGAACAGCTGCTGCTTACTGTAATACTCTCAGAAACTTACCAAGTTCATTGTTCCTGTAAGGAGATAGTACATAGCAGCTTATTTTAACTGGAGTTAATAAATGTTTCGATCAAAGCACTGAGATAGTTTGTAATAAGTTTCCTTAGTAAAAGGACACAGGTAGAAGTAATATAAAATGTATAAGGAATAAAGATAGACATAGTTGCAAACAAAAGCAAAAATCTCCTTCTAAAACTTGAATCTAACTTAACTCAAAGACGCGTGGCCCAGTCTTTCTTCTGGTATGAAGCAATCAGGTTTTTAGCCAGAACTCTTCACACAGCTCAAAATGTTCTCTCCCTTGGTCTCCTGAGGTGATGGAGATGGAGTTTGTTCCTTCTCTATTTATAATCCACTAAACCTTTGAAATGTGCTCTCCTGAAATGTATCCCTAGAGAAGATTCCTGTCTCCTGGATGTTAGATACCATGCTCTCTGGTGTACCCTCTACTGCTAGTTCCTCCCCTGCTAGTAATTTTTACTATGAAAATGATCTCTTCCTACAGCCTCTGACACAAATGAATTAATTTCCCATTGAATTTGGCTACAAACGTTTGAGGCATTGGCCTCTTTCCTTTTGTCTGGGAAAAAAAACTATTCATACCCGATTTAAACATATTTTAGCCACATTTCCAGAACATCTCTAAAGTTCTTTGGGGGCTAAATATATGTACATACATCACTGGAAAACTAATAGCTCATTAATATTCCTTGTAATGTTACATGCCATCTTTTGGGTAAAGATCATGACAACAGTGTATCTTCTGGGATGTTCTTCAGACACAGTATACTTAGCCAGCATTGCCAAGAGATCAGAGTATTTGATAGTGAGTGGTGTCTTTGTTGTCTCTAGTTCTTTTCTATGCATCTTATTTGTAGCTGAGCTATTTTCCTTGGGGTAATCTAATGGAAGCATCTATTGAATTACCTGTGGGTAGGAGTTTCAGGGGGTAGCTGAGTTAGTCTGTTACAGAAAAAAACAACAACAAATGGTCTGGTAGCACTTTATAGACTAACAAAACATGTAGATGGTATCATGAGCTTTCATGGGCACAGCCCACTTCTTCTTCTCCTCCCGTCATCTGAAGAAGTGGGCTGTGCCCACAAAAGCTCATGATACCATCTACATGTTTTGTTAGTCTATAAAGTGCTACCAGACCATTTGTTGTTGTTTTTTTTACCTGGGGTAGTTTGACTATTGAAAGCCAATAATTCAGTAAGGAATCCTATCTGTTCTGTACAGTGTTCCCTCCCCTTCATTGTGGTGATGCTCTATGCAGACAGGCCTATCAATGCAGGAAGATGGGGGCACAGGGAGCAACTGCCCCCGGGGGCGGGTGATGCTAAAGGTTCTCCTCCTAGCCACTGCCCTTTAAATCACCGCTGGAGTGTCCCACCACACTCTCTGGTGGGCTCTAAGGGCAGGGGGAGCAGTGTGGAATGCTCCAATTGGTGCTGAGAGCTGTCTGCCCCAGTTCCAGCCTTTCTGGGAGCATGGAGCTGCCCCCCCTTTCTCCAGGGGCTCAGTGGCAGAACTGGGTTCCCCTGTATGCTGATCAAGCATCAATTATACACTAGCTCAGAGTGGGGGACAGAGTGGGTCTGATTCCCCACCACTGACAGTGGGGAAAGGTGAGTGTAAAATGCACACATATTCTGTGCAAGTTTAAATGACTACACAAGCTACAGAGCAATGGACCATCAAAGCCAATATGTGAAGAAAAAAAATTGAGTGAGATACCTGACTAAAGATAATAATGTTTCTTTAGGGATTTCCCGTCACTTTTTGCTAAATTTCAGTGTTAAATCAGCCATCACTTAAAGAGAGAAAAGATAACAGGTCTATAAGGTGGAGGGGCTTTCCAGAGCTTCAGGTTTTCCTTTGTAAGCATGTTCTGACACTTGCGTTAAGGCTTGTTTACCTTCAAAGGAGTGTGAGGGGTTAAGGACCGTGACTAGCTGTGGAATTTGTTATACAGCTCCCAGTGCAACAGCGTTCTAATGCTTGTCTGGGGGCCCTTAGGTGGTTCTGCATTAGACCTAATTAGTACTAATACAGACTCTCTCCGATTTACAAACTGGTTACGGACCAAGCAATTGGTCGTAACTCGGTTCGTTCGTAAGTCAGACCCCATTGAGTTACATGCGACCGCACTGTTCATAAGCGCGGATTGTGTTCGTAAATCGGGGTTCGCCATTTACGACAGCTTTGGTCATAACTGCGAGCTGTTGTAAGTCTACCATTCACCACTCGGGACTGGCTGTAATCCAAACAAGGTCTGATGCTATAACCCCTAATTCATGGCAGGTGCTGTCCTGACTGGCATAAGCCATCTAGAGTCACTGGACTGCAACGAGACTAGGGGTTGCACCATGGGTTCCCTGAACTGCAGTATCTTTAGGGGCATGTCTGTGCAGCCCCTTGCACGCCAACAGCGCTATGGAAGTCATAACAAAAGGAGCAGCCACTCAGAACCACTGCTAGTCTCTAGGGTGCTACAGGACTACTCGTTTTTAAACACCCCCCCCCCCACACACACACACACACACGGGATTGCCAAGAGTCTGCAGCAGGCAGCGGCCAGGCAAACAGCCCTTTCACACGGTCTGCCCTGCTGTTGCCTCTATTGAAATACTAACTTCGGGTCATGACAAGAGCCTGTCTCTGTGCGTGGATCCCCCCCAATCCCGGGGGGAAAAGTGTGTGTGTGTGTGGGGGGGGGAACGTTTTAAAAAAGATTTCCCTTTCCCGCACAGCCCATCCGCTGGCTGCTTTTGGCCCAATCCCGTCCCGAAGGAGTCTGTCTGCGCGCGTTCGCCGAGACTGGCCGCTCCCACGCCTTCAATTATCGATCTCGCGCGCCTCTCTGCC